GGACCAATTCTTAAGTATTAATAGCCATGTCTAACCATATATCATCAATCAATCAATATTTCGAGGATTCCAGATAACGTATGGATCGAAATTATGTATAAATCTATAAGACACATGTTTGAGATGTTTCCTATCAAAAATCAACAAAATCGAAACATAAAAGGAAGATATACAATCGATTAGTCATGATAACCTAGACATATGGATCCATAATTTATTATATACCCAACTCTAAAGTCTGTAATAAGTATATAGGAAATATGTATATCAAATGAAAGGTATCTTAAAGGCCTTTCCTTTACTGAGAAAGTCGTTTTGTAGAATTCATTAATTGGAGATATTATTCTTCTGGGAAGTATTTCTATAAGAATTCCCTTCTATAAATAGGTAAAAAAAAGGGACTGTATGTATTATGTTTATAGACAATATGTACATCAAATGAGAGGTGTTTTCAAGACCTTTCCTTTCTTGAGGATATCAAGAAACTCATTAAACGGATTTCTAATTAAACTATATTTATATAAAAAAGTATTAAATATCCGAAAAAAAGTATACAATAACTAGCGGCTACCGTCTTAATTCAACTATGGATTAGATTGAATCTTCAGATTTTAATTAGTTCAGTGAAAAAAGTAAAGCATGACGGAAATATATATTTAAAGATAACAAACTCTAAGGGGATTTTTTTGAAAAATAAAAACATTGACAATACAAACTTGTTAGTAAAATATACACAAACATATTTACTATATAGAATAATATATATAACCAAAACTACAACAACAAAGCAAAGTATTGTTTATATAAAAACAACAACCTAAACATATTTGTTCCCTAAGAAGAAGTAAAAACCGTATAAACGTATTGTTACACAAACTGACTGAGAAAAGGGACTGAGAAAACATGTATAAACCTCTATGTATGCAGTTATACAAACATACTTTATGTGGATGCAACTAAGATGCACGTTTACGCCTGTATCTGACTTATTTGTCTTGATTTCTCTTTTTCTTAGTTGGATATTGTATTTTGTGTTTTCATTTCTTTTATGTATTTCGAGAAAAGTCAACACAAGGTGCATTTTTTTTTTGGGGTAGATTTGTTGTAAATTGCGGTAAAATAGTTATAAAAAAGCAACAACAACGACTATTATTACAAAGCAACTACTTACAACAACATCATAATCATCATTTTCTTCATACATGTTTAGCAGACTTTGCTAAAGATCGAGCGTGGCGACCCTTTTTAGAGGAAAAATATTTTTCAAATATGATTCTTCTATCATGTTGCATGCATATACATATAGATGATTGATGATGCGTGCTGTTTGTTGTTCTTATTCGTTTTTCTAACTCAAATCATTTACATCATCATGTCATAGTTAGCTGCATACTCTATGAAAAATAAATGAGAAAAATAAAAGAATAAGAAATATATTTGATGATTTTTACTACAAATTAAATGGCTTTTGGAAGAGGCATACGAGCAGCATAATCATCAGCAAACGAAATATGTAGAGCATCAGAAGCCTGCCTGCCTGCATACAAATGTAATCAACCTCATCAAAAAAACATTAATGATAATTAACCCTCGAAGGACTGTGAGATAAAAAGAAAATAAAATTTACTTATCTCTACAGTGTTTTCATGTTGCTTTGAATAAATTGTGTCAGAAAGATTTTCCTTATTATCAACAATTCTTTTAATAAAAAAAAAATCGCGAATATTTCAGGAATTCAAATTCCTTCCCAAAAAACGTTGTTTAGGGGAATAAATCATTTTTCTTGGGCCCTTCTACTAATAGTTTGAATAGTTTGAAATGATGTCAGAAAGATTTTCTTTAATCTCAAACAATTTGTAATAAAAAAATTCGCGAATATTTCTGGAACTGCAATATATTTTGAAATTTATACTGAATCTTAACAATTTTTAAAAATGTGTCATTATGTTCTCCTTAATTTAACAATATGTTGAATAATTCGCGAATATTACATGAATTTTTTCCTTCAAAATATAAAACTTAATTCACAAATAATCTTTTATTCGAAATTTCAATTTCAGCATAAAAAAGTAATTTAAAGGAATATCCTTTGCTATGGAAGGAAGATTTTCTTTATTCTCAAAATTTGTTTAATATAAAATTCGCGAATATTTCAGGAATTACAATTCCAGTATAATTTTAAGAAGAAACTTTTTCCTTTGGACCTCATTGAATAGTTTAAACTGATTTTAAAAGTTTTTCTTTATTCTAAAACAATTTGTAGTAAAGAAATTCTCGAATTTCTCACGATCCTCATTCTGAATAAGTATACTACATCACTTATTCCTTTATATGTCTTCCAGCTAGAAACTAATTAACTTCGATAATCTCCCAAACAACTGCCCTTAATCTTCCCTTTCTACCATTTAAGGGTTAAAAACAATCAACACGATCACAAACAAATAATAATAGTTGTGTTTTGTTGCTAACGTTCAAAGGCAATTTCATATAAATTTAAAATTTATAAACGTTAGGAGTTAACGTGTAAAATTATACAAGTTAATTTTAACGTCGATAAAAGTGCTACCAATTCAAAAATAAAAATACAAATATTAATGTGTTTATGTCAAACAATAAAAAAATATTTTAAAATAAAATTTAAATCAAAAAAAATATCAAATAAAAAAACCTTTTTTAAGAAAATGTAAATAATTTTAAGATTTAGCAGATTTCTTCTGTGGAGTGATGCCAAGTCAGGTAATGTTCGTTTTGTTGCTAACTTTAAGCGTTAACACTCATTGATAGCAACAAAACACAACTAATATTGCATGACTAAAACTCAAAAAAAAAAATTCTTCAGAAAATATTTAGTAACTCAACAAGTATTCTTTCTATTCCTAAAACTAAAACCAAAAATGAAAAGAAAATCAACTTTCTGTATCTTTTGCGGTATGCTGTAATAAAAGATAAAACAATACTTTATGACTTTAGAAAGAAAAGATAAGCTTAGGAAGAATCTAAAAGAACAAAACAGCAAAACTAAAACGTTTTAAACAAAAGAGAAAATTGTTAAAAAAAAATAAACAAAAATGAGAGATTAAAGATCATTGGCGGTTTGGTTTCATCTTGTTGAAACCAAAGTAATCTAAGGTTTATTCTTAAGCAAGTGTTAAACAAATTAAAAGAAATAGTTAAATATTCTGGGAAACATGGAGTAGAAATCAAGCCGCAAGGCTACTAAAAAGATTTTAAAATTGGGAGAAAAAATCTGTCAGATTTAAAGAATTTTTGCTTAAGACTGGATATTTTCTAGACATCTGTTAGGACTGACTGCTTAACTCAAGACATATCAATTACTTTTCTTTCTCATATCTCGCCAGAAGCTATTCCAGAATAACAGCTCGGTAAATGAATATTAGTTGTTAAATGAGATTTCAGGGTCTTAAAGATCAAGAGCCTAATAAATAGACTATTCTATATACTACACCATGTCATAGTCAAAAATATAATCCATACACCAGTCATTAGGGTCGTCCTTGGACTAATCAGCAGACCAATCTATAAACTAGTCAACAGACTAGTCCCTAGACTAGACAATAAACAAGTTCATAGACCCGTATATATAATAGTCTATAGACTAGTCAATAAACTAGTCCTTAGGCTAGTGAATAGACTAGTCCATAGACTAGTTCACAGACTAGTTCATAGACTAATCAATAGTCTATTGTCCATACACTAGTCACTAGACTATTCCATAGACTAGACAATAGGGTACTTCATAGACTAATCAATAGACTTGTCCATAAACTAGTCAATAGACTAGTCCATAGGCAAGTCAATGTACTAGTTCGTAGACTAGAATAATCAAAGGCCTATACAATAGACTAGTCCATAGACCAGTCCATAGACTAGTCCATAGACTACTCCATTGACTAGTCCATAGACTAGTCCATTGACTAGTCCATAGACTAGTTCATAGACCAGTTAATAGACTAGTTCATAGACTAGTTCATAGACTAGTTCATAGACTAGTTCATAGACTAGTTCATAGACTAGTTCATAGACTAGTTCATAGACTAGTTCATAGACTAGTTCATAGACTAGTTCATAGACTAGTTCATAGAATAATTTATAGACTAGTCCATCAAAGTTCATAGACTAGAATAATCAAAGGCCTACACAATGGACTAGTCCATAGACCAGTCCATAAACTAGTCCATGGACTAGTTCATAGACTAGTTTATAGACTAGTTCATAGACTAGTTCATAGACTAGTTCATAGATTAGTTCATAGACTAGTTCATAGACTAGTTCATTGACTAGTTCATAGACTAGTTCATAGACTAGTCCATAGACTAGCTTATAAACTAGTTTATAGACTAGTCCATAGTATAATTCATAGACTAGTTCATAGACTAGTCCATAGAAAAGTTCATAAACTAGTTTATAGACCAGTCATTAGTCTAGTTCATAGACTAGTCCATAGTCTAGTTCATAGACTAATTCACAGACCAGTCCATAGACTAGTTCGTAGACTAGTTCATAGACTAAGTAGTTCATAGACTAGTTTATATACCAGTCCATAGTCGTTCATAGCCTAGTTCATAGACTAGTCCATAGACTAGTTCATAGACTAGTTCATAGACTAGTTCATAGACTAGTTCATAGACTAGTTCATAGACTAGTTCATAGACTAGTTCATAGACTAGTTCATAGACTAGTTCATAGACCAGTTTATAGACTAGTTCATAGACCAGTTTATAGACTAGTCCATAGACTATCCATAGATTAGTTCATAGACTAGTTCAATAGTGTATTGTTCATAGACTAATCTTGTCCATAACTAGTCCCTATACAAATTAATAGACAAATTAATCAAAAGCCTACACAATGGACTACTTAATAGACTAGTCCTTTAACTAACTAAACAATACCATATCTTCATCAAAATGTCCCCCCAAAAATGAATTGTTCACCCAAAAAGAAACATTAATAAAAACTTGAAAAAAAATTTCACTCACCTGTGAATCATTGAAATTAAAATCTCTTTCGGCATTACTGCTGTCAGAGTGTAGAACCAATAGTAAAGCCAATAGCACTAAAGGAAATGTGCAACACCAATAACGCCTTCTCGCCGTTGACAACGTCGTCACCTTGTGCGCTTTCTGCTTATCCAAATGTGTTAAAAATTTTGGCAACATCTTGCAGATGTTTTTTATAAAACTTAAGACTTTTTTAATTGTATAATGTTTTTATGTATTAAAATGACTTGTGCTTAAAAAAACTAACTAATTGTTTTCGTTCGTAAATGATTTTTGTCTATAAAAAAAAGCAAAAAATGCAAATTTTTTTCTCTCTCTAGAAGCAAATTTAATTTTGAATTCGTAATTTTTGTTAATGCAGCTTCTACTCTACAGCTACAGCGGCTGGCTAAATACGATGATTAAATTTTAATAAATTCCAAAGTTACTTCATCTGTAAAGAGACAAGTTGGGAAAAAGAAAACATGAGTTTAAAAGAAAAACTTGTTATCAAACGAGTTAATTTACTAATAATTATTTAAAATTATGAATACTTAATTGCAGTTGTAATATATTATAAGACAGTTTTGTGGGTAAATTAGAAAATCCCAAAAAGTAAAAGTAAAAATGTCACTAAAAGTTTTATTTTTTTCCAAATTTCCGTTACGCTCTTATTAAAAGGCGTCTTTTAATTAGATTTTAAAAGAATGATAAACGCCTTAACAAACATTTTTTTTGGGGTATCATTATAATTAGTTGTTACAAATTAGTGTTTTGAAGTTATTTTTTTCTACAGTTGTCTTATCTTAGGAAGCAAAAGTTTGAAGAAGGTAAGTGGTACTTAATTTATTTTTATCTAAACTTTAGGGTTTATATATAGTTTTGTTGTTTTATTTTTTGGTTAAAAGCTTATCTAGTATTTTTTTTTCGGTAATATAGGTCAATGTTTTTTAAATATTTATTTAAAAAATTTTGTTTATAAAGAAAATTTTATGCACTTTTTTAACTAAATATAACCATTGTCTGAGTATTACTTTGCAGAAAAGAAAAAAAGCTTTTTATTTTGAATTTAAAAATCTGTTAAAAACCGAATTCACTCTCAGATTTTCCTAACACATCAGGTTTTCGAGTTATCTTAGTCTAAAGTTGGAATAATCCTTAATTTAGCATCATATTCGAGACACTATGGACAGCAAGAGAAAATTTTATTTAGAAAATTTGTTATGGCATCTGAAAGTCCTTGCTTTTATCTTTAATATGAAGGTTTAACCTCTGGTATATCTTGCTTTTTCCTTGAGATATCTTAATCTAAACTTTGAATCAAATATAAATTTCACAAAAGTGAAGTTTGTGTCGAAAATTTCAACAAATAGAAGATGTAATGCTGTTTTAGAGGTAATACTTTTAAATTGAAGTCCATAGATAGGTCCGTAAGACGTTATAATGTCTCGAATATAAGGAAAGGAGTTTTAGATCTAGAAATTCTAATGTCAGAATTGAATTCAGTTCAGCTCAAATCTTTAGAAAAGTATGCAGTGACCTCTGGGTTTAAAATCAAGCGATTATCTGTGATTATCACATAATATCCTAACTTGGTGAGCTTTTTAAGTCTAGACTTAATGATCTACTGGAGTGTTTCTCAAGGCCTTATTAGTCATTATATCAGGGGATAATTTACAAGAAACTGTTTTCGAAAACGAACGATTAATTCCAATCTATAGAGATTTAGATCAATATCTTATGTGGTAATTTGGCTCCTGAAGATTGATTGAAACATTCGAGGAATTTCATTTAATGAGGTAAACAATCTTTAGAATCTGCAATATTTACTCCAATAGCCCGATTTGTTCTTCTTGCTCTTCCTCCCTCTCTCTCTCTCTCTTTTTCATTTAAAATAATTAAAACTAGACAGAAGGGAATTATGATAGTATTAGTTCTTTACTGATAGTAGTTATATCGGAATCATTTGCAAGAAACTGTTTTCGTAAACGATCGAAATCTCCACTCAAATTCTATTAAAGTTGTATGTCGTAATTGGCTTCTGAAGACTGATTGAAGAAATATTCGAAGAATTTGTTCTAATATTTAAAACATATTAAGAAACTACAATATTTCCTCTAATTGACAGATTTATTTTGTTTTTCGCTCTTCCTCGCTCTCTTTATTTCATTTTCTCTATCTCTTGCATTCATTCATAATTTAATCTAGAGAGAAGGAAATTGTCATAGAACAAGTTCTTCGAAGATAATAAACGAGTTATAAGACCTAAAAGGAGCATGTACAAACCTAGTGGTCGAATAAAGCTAACTGTAGATATACAATCTGATATGATCTCAACTACGGAACTTAATTACAGTGGTAACTGGTCTTTTAGGCTTTATACCAGAGATTCAATCTTCCAGGAAACGACTTTTGTAGAAGTTGTAAAGACAAAGAAGATATCACTATCTCTGTCACTGCTCGGCTCCAAGCTACTTTCTGCAAGAGTTAAAAAGATTGAATATGAAATCTTTTAGAGATTAGTGAGACAGACTCTACGATCATGCACAGACCTAGGAAAAAAATTAAGCTAACTGTAAAATGACAAAGATCAGTAGCAGATATACAATGGGCTATGATCACTAGCCTTGTTAAATTTCTTCTGATCTCAGCTGCGGAACATAATTACAGTGATTACTCACCACTAGCCCCTTTTAGGTTTTATGCTAGAAGATTCAAACATCCAAGATACGAGTTTTGAGAAGGGGTTGTCACTATCTCTGTCACTGCTCGGCTCTAAGCAACTTTCCGCACGAGTTAAAGAGATTGATTATAAAATCTTTTAGAAATTAGTGGGACAGACCCTACGACCTTGCACAAACCTATTGTCGAATGAGAATGTAGAATAGCAAAGATCAGTAGCCGATATACAATCTGCTATGATCACTAGCATCGTTAAATTTCTCCTGATCTCAGCTGCGGAACATAATTAAAGTGGTTACTCGGCACTAGCCTTTTAGGCATTATGCCAGAAGATTCAAGCTTCCAAGAAACGACTTTTGCAGAAGCTGCCAAGACGAAGAGGATGTAACTCTCTTTCTCTTCACAGCTCGATTGATAATGAAATCTTAAAATTAAAATTTAGAGCATGCATAAACCAGGTTTTGAAATGTGTCTAAGCCTAGAATGACAAAGATCATGTGGCTGATATGCGGTCTTTCACGATATCTTGCCTTGTTAAATTATCCAAAATCTCAAAAACGGAATATTTATAATTACAGCCTCTGTCGCTTCAGCCCAAAAGTTCAAATGCAGCTAACTGCAGAATGGCAAAGATCAGTAGTCTTGTTAAAGATCTTTCAATCTCAGTTGCGAAACATAATTAAAGTGGTTGCAGGTCACCGGCCTTTTAGGCTTATGTCAGAAGATCTACCCAAAAACGACTTTGCCAAAAGCTGTCAAGACAAAGATGACGAAGAGGATGTTACTCTCTTTCTCTGTCACTGCTCGGCTCTAGTGGGCTAGATAGCAACTTTCTGTACGTTTTAATGAATTTATCCGATGTGAACATCCGAAATGAGAAACTCTTTTAAACGAGTGACAAACTAGTGAGGATGGGATCTAAAGGGATTAATATGCTGAACCCCTGTGTGTCCCCAGTACAGGCACAACCTGCTGAAATATCCTAACCTAGACACCCAGTTAAAGCCTCAATGATAAATTAACCAGATTTAAAGCTATTTACACCAGTGAAAATGATTTAAAACTATAGCTGATAGGACCCTCATAGGACCAGAAACATTAATAAGGTACAAAGTTGATCTTGAAATTGACACTTTTGGGACAAGCGATCTTAACAATATGTTGATCTCGCGATGTCACGTTCCCACGACAATTGGATCTTCGCTCCGAAACGACCCGAGTCATACTCGGCCAAAGATTGTCAACACAGCGACAGCTGTATCAACCGAAAGTTGTTTCCTCAAAGAAAGAACTATCGGTCACAGTCGAACTGTTACAACAACAAGAAATATTGATCTAGCAATAACGAATTAGAATTTTATTTTTTACTATTCCAATTCACTGCTTCTAGAAGTAATTTTAATGTCATTTTTTCGATTCCTATTCACTGCTTCTAAAGTCATGCCTTAGAAGTAATTTTGATGTTTTCTTTTTTTGGAAAAGATTTGGAAGTATGTATTAAGAATTCCTCTTTGGAAGTCTTTTAAAAGAATTAGACATTTCCTTATTTACTATTACAATTCACTGCTTCTAAAGCCATTCCCTAGAAGTAATGTTGAAGTCCTTTTTTCGATTCTTATGCACTGATTCTAAAGTAATGCTCTGC